CTCTGGTAAGTTTTGGCAGCTATTAGCAGGTGAATCCTGTGATGCCCACATGGCTGAGGACTGGGGCTTCCATGAGGCTGGTTCTCCATGCCCCCAGAGCTAGGGTGGTAGGTCTGGGAGGCTCACCTGGACTATTCACCTGGGAGAATCTTGCCTGTCAACACAAAGCTGCCAACCAGCATCCCTGGTTTGTGGGCCTGGGGAATGGGCAGTGGCCCAGGGCGCTCCATCCTGGGGGCTGACTGCACCCCACATCCCAATCTGCCCAGGCCTGGGTGTGACAGAGGGGTGCCCCATTTTACAAATGGGGAAAGTGGAAGCTGACCCACAGCTGCTGGCCTCCCAGGGGTTGCTGCGTGAGCCGTAACGACCCCTTGGACTCTTCCATTTGTCTCTGACGTGGCTGTCCACTGCACCGACCACATGATAGGCCAGAGTGCACATGCCTCTTGCATCTCCATTCTACAGATGGGCCCCAGGCCATGACGCAAATAAGCAGTCTAGCTGGACTTGATTTTGGAGCCTGGCTGCAGTGTGCGTAGCTCCTCATCACTTAGCTCCTCCCTCTTACAAGAACGGGAGCCAGGAGTCTTGTGTTCACCCTGCCTTGTCTCATCCAGGTGTCTGCTGCTGCTGTCTCCCGTGGGAGCTCCTGCAGCGCCCGGACCAGCCCCCACTCTCAGGATGGGCCTCAAGGAAAGGACAGCATGACTGAGGACTCTGTTTCTGAGAATAGCTTTCATGTTTGAATGCACACAGCATTAAACCTTGCTCTGAAACCTGCCGCACCTGGACATGGTCATGCTAGGGACTTGGTTATCTTGACTGCAGCCGTGGTGGTGTGAGTGACCCAGGGGTCCGTGGCTGTGGCAGAAATTGATCACTTATGGTGTTTAATGTGTAACACCTGTACAGGGTGTTTATCACCACCTTGAGAAGTCACCTCACAACTTAGTGGTGTCAAACAGCAAATATCCGTTACCTCTCGATTTCTGTGGGCGAGAATTTAGGAGTAACTCAGCTGCACGGTCCTGGCTCCGGATCACTCATGAGGATGCAGTCAAGGTGTCGGCTGCGGCTGCCTCATGAGAAGGCTGGCCCGGGGCGGGAGGAGCCGTTCGTGCGGGCACCCTCGTGGGGCTGCTGGTGGGAGGGAGGCCTCAGCTCCCCACTGCGTGGGCCTCTCCAAGGGGCTGCTGGAGCCGCCTTACGTCTTTGCGGGTGGAAGCCACATGTCTTATGACCTTACCCCAGAAGTCTTGCTCCATCACTTTCTCCACATTCTGTTAGAAAACACATCCCCACATCCAGCCCACACTCAAGGGAATGAGAACGTGGCTCTGTTTTGAAAGGAAAAACATCAGAACTTGTAGAAAAGTGAAACCATCACGTGAAGGACACAAATGCGGGCAGGCACACAAGGGTCTGGCACACAAGTTTCCTCCCCCGGCCCCTGCCTGGTTCTTGACAGTTCTAGAAATTGTGTGTGTAAGCATATTTGTGAAAGCAGCTGTTCTGTTAGCCATAAGGAAACCGCACAGACTGGGGGGCTTATACAACAGAACTGAATCTTCTCAGTTCTGGAGGCTGGGAGTTGAGATCAAGGTTCTGACAGGGTTTGCTTCTGGTGAGTTCCTGCCTCCTGCCTTCTGGCTGTGTCTTCACCTGGCCTCCCCCCGTGCACCTGCGGAGGGAGGAGCAGGGCGTGTGCTCTCAGGTGCCCCGGGACCCAGACCCTGTCAGGGTGGGCCCCACCCCCTGACCTCACCTCACCTCCTTCCATCCTGAGGCGCGGAAGACACATTCGGAACAGATCTCTATCTTGAACACAAGCGGTGGCATTTGTGACACCCCTCTCTGCGCATCATTCTCTTACCCAAGGCATCTTTCCTGGGGCCACAGCACTTCGGGAAGGATCCTCCACTTCGACAGGGCTTATCCGAGTTTCCAACCTGGGCAGCCCCCGGGGCTGTGTGGAGCCATGTGGCCTGAAGTGGAAAAAAACCTATTTCTCCTAACACATAAATCTTAAAAAAATACACATTTTTAAAAATTTGTATTTACTTATAAGGATTTTATTTATTTGACACAGAGAACAAGCGGGGGGAGCAGCAGAGGGAGAAGCAGGCTTCCTGCTGAGCAGGGAGCCCAATGCGGGGCTGGATCCCAGGACCCTGGGATCATGACCTGAGCCAAAGGCAGACACTTAGCGACTGAGCCACTCAGGCGCCCCACAAAAATAAAATTTGACATTTTGTCTATCATGGATCTTTTGCATTCATTTTAAATTGTTACAATATTGCATTAAATGCTATTCATCTTGATGACTGAGATACCCTGTAAATTTTGTGCCCCAGTTGAGTGCCATGATTGACTCATTAACTCGGGGACTGTTGACTGGGGACATCTGTGATTGTCAAGACGGGGGGAGTGCTGGCCTAGAGTGGGCACAGTGAGGGATGCTGCTCAGTCCCCCACAGTGCCCAGGATGCCCCCAATCACCCATCCCCAAGGTCCACAGTACTGAGGGGGGAGACCCCGCCACGAAAAGTGGCTCCTCATCCCTTGATTTTGTTTTTATTTCTTACCTTGTGTAGATGGGTAGGAGAGGGTGTCTGCTTGGGGCCCAAGGCAGCCAGCCCAGGAAAGGGAGGTCCTAAGTGCCAGCAAACCAGGAAGGGAGCATGATTGCCTGTCCCCCTTCTGGGACTCCCAGCTTCTCCTCTCTGCTGGCAACTCCCCATCATGTCCACCTGGACCAGCCCCAGGGGACCATCCCAGGGGCTCAGGCCAGGCGATGCCCACAGGCTTGCTGCTATGGAGGCAGCCTTGGCCTGAGGGGGGTCAAATGCCCCGAGAAGCAAGTGGAGGCCGGCACGCTGAATGCCTAAGAATGGTGAGGGGGCACCTAGGGTGCATTTTTTTTTAAGGGTGCATGGTGGTTCTTAAGGTCAAAAAAATTTTTTTAAGATTTTATTTATTAATGAGAGACAGACAGAGAGAGGGAGGCAGAGGGAGAAGCAGTCTTCCCAAGGGGCAGGGAGCCCGATGCGGGACTCGATCCCAGGATCCTGGGATCATGACCTGAGCCAAAGGCAGACGCTTAACGACTGAGCCACCCAGGCGCCCTCTTAAGGTCAAATCTTATGACCCAACACCATGCATCCACCAATGTGGTACTATCAAAAACCAGGAAATAACAAACGTTGGCAAAGATGTGGCGAAACCGGAGCCCTCCCCCAACCCCTTCCTCTTCCCGCCAGCGACACCAGCTGGCTTCCCCTCTGAGTCCCTCCCCTCACCTGCCCAGGGCAGGTGCTCAAAAAAGATGACCGAATGAGTGGCTGGAGCTGCGGCCGGCGCCAGAAGGCCAGACCTCCTCCTCATGCACCACTGGCGGGAATGTGAGTAGGGCAGGCGCTGCGGAAAACAGTAGGCGGTTCTTCTAAAAATGAAACATAGAGGGCGCCTGGGTGGCTCCGTCAGTGAAGCGTCTGCCTTCGGCTCAGATCATGATCCTGGGGTCCTGGGATTGAGCCCCGCATCGGGCTCCCTGCTCAGCGGGGCGCCTGCTTCTCCCTCTGCCACTCCCCCTGCTCATGCTCTCTCTCTTGCTCACTCTCAAATAAATAAATAAAATCTTAAAAAAAAATTAAACAGGATTACCATGTGACCCAGCAATTGCACTTGGGGTATACACCCAAAGACTTGAAAGCAGGAGCTTGGGTCCTCCCCAGGACCTCTGACACAAGAAGGTTAATAATTTTTCCTTTACCTCTGCACGTGGTTTCACTGACTGAAATAAACGTATCTTTGTAACTATAGTTTTTAAGTTAAATAAAATCATACAAGCTGGAAAAAGACAAGTCCAGTAGTTACCAGCATTTCCCTGCACAAAGGGCAGGGTCCTGAAGCCCTGGGTTCTGGCCTGAACCCTCCAGACAGGAATCTGGTGCCCCAAACCAGCTTCGTATGGTGACCATTCAGGGTGCCCGCCTCCCCACTGTGCCCTCTGTCTCTGAGACAGCAGGAGGGACATTGTGAGAAGTTGCACTTAACCTGAAGCCATTAAAACAAGTTACACCTGCGCTCCACTTGGTGCTCTTGGGTTGCCCGCCCAGGGCCTGCCTCAGACTTGAGCTGTGAAGACCCCTGCAGGGGAGACCCATGTGTGCGGACCACCCCTCTGCTTCCCTCGGCGGAGCTTGCCCCCGCCCCCCACCACCACCATGCTCCTCAGTCTCCTGGCACCGGCTGCAGCTCCAGCCACTCCGTCATCTTTTCTTGAGCACCTGCCCTGGGCCGACGAGGGGAGGGACCAAGAGGGGAAGCCAGCTGCTCTCTCTGGCGGGGAGAGGCGTCAAAAAAGGGGCGAGACGTTTCTTAGGAAGGTCCTGGACCCCAGGAAGAGAAGGCGGCTGGACTACGGGGGGGTGGGGGCTGGGGAGGGGCTATTCCTCGATTCCAAGGCGTCGGGAGGGATTTGGGGCGTGCGGGGCGGTGGTCAACTACAACGCCTGGAGCCTGGGAGACCAGGGGGAGGGAGGGCGGGAGGCGGCGTGATGGATGGAGGCCCGGCACTGGGTGGGTAACCCTAGATTCGAGCGGGGACCTGGCGGCACCGGACGGGAGGCAGAACCCCGGCCGCACAGCGCTGGAGAGGACCACGGGGCTGTCCGGCAGCTTGCCGCTCGCGGAGCCCAGGGCGCAGGCGCTGGGCGGGCCGGCAGGCGAGCCGCGTGCCGCCACTAGCCACGCCCCCTAGCCGCCCGCTGATTGGGGCCGCCGCCGCGGGGCGGGGCCGGCGCCCACGGGGAGGGGCCCGCGCGGCGCCTGCGCAGCACGGGGCCCCGCGCGCGGGCGGGTGGGCGGAGCGGGCCCCCCGAGCGGGGGCTGGCGAGCGCGGGGAGGGGGCCGAGAGGGCGGCAAAGCCGGCGCGTGCCCGGCTGGGGGCGGAGGGCGGGGGCCCGCGGGCCGGAACAGCCGCGGCAAGTGGCGGCGGCGGCGGCGGCGGCGACGGAGGCAGCTGAGGCGGCGGCGGCGAGCGGGGGTCCGGGCGGCGGCGGCGGCGGGCCGAGGAGCCGGGCGCGATGGAGCGGAAGAGGTGGGAGTGCCCGGCGCTCCCGCAGGGCTGGGAGAGGGAAGAAGTGCCCAGAAGGTCGGGGCTGTCGGCCGGCCACAGGGATGTCTTTTACTATAGGTGAATGAACGTGCCGGCCGGGCAGGGCCCCAACGGGCGCCTCCCAGCGGCCTCTGCGGCGGCCTGGGCGCCTCGACCCGGGCTGCGGCCTGGGCCCCGCGCGTGCGTCGTGCGTGCGTGCGTGCGTGCCGGCGCGCGGCGGCCCCGGGCCAGTGCGCGTGCGTGCCCCTCCCCCTCCCCCGCGGCCGCGTGGGGCGCGGGGCGCGGGGCGCGGGGCGGGCGGTGGCCTTTGTTCCGCGGCCGCGGCGGGCCGGCCGGCGGGGCGAGGGACGCCGGGCGCGGGCCAGACGCCGCTGGGAGGCGGGGGTGGGGGCTGGGCTGTCCCTTGGGTCGGCGGAGCGCGCGCTCAGCCCGAGGCGGGGGCGCTCGGGGGTGGGGGGCCGCCCCTCCGGAGAGCGGCGCTGCGCTGGGTCGCGGCGCCTCCGGGAGCGGGGAGGGGACGCGCGGGACTGTGAGCCCCCCTTCCCCAGGCTCCTGGTCGGTGGAATAAAGAATCAGTGGGCGGCTGGCGGCCCACCCCAGACAGTCGGCCACCTGCTGTCTTCTCTCGCCCTCCTGTTTTCTTTCTGACTGCTGGAAGATGCTTTTGTTTCTGAGCCAGCTCTGATGACTCCCTCCCCCTTGCTTCAGGACCCTGGGGCGCCTTCAGGTCGCTGGGCAGAATAAAGCGGGATACCCGCCACGTGTTGAATGCGGGCTGGGTTCGTGCGGTCCCCACGGGCCCAGAAGCTGCCCGCGTGAGGCCGAGGCGGGGTGGGAGTGCTGTTCCGTCCACCCAGAACTTGGGTCCCTCCTGGGCCTTTGCCGGCCCCCGTGGGGAAGGAGTAGGGAGGTGGGCTGGGAAGGGCTGGCGGCTAGGACCGTGGGAGGTCAGGCATTGAAGTGGTGTAACTACAGCATCTCCCCGGGACTCTGATGCCACTCCCTCGCCAGCTGTTGTCCTTCTGACCTGGGGGTCCGTGAGGAGCCCTCCTTTCCTTCCAAGCATGCCTGTGTGTCCGTCTTCTCTCTCAGATCTAAAGTGTGAAGCAGGTTTCCCTGGCTCTCTTGTTAACGACTCTGCAGCACCTGCTGGCGGTGGGGCTGGAGTCAGACCCGGGCCTTCCTCTCCTGGGCGGCAGCACTAGCTGGCTCCCCGAGGATCCCATAGTTACAGGAGAGGATATCCGCTCAGAAGCGCAGGGGTCTGTGAGGGCCAGTGATGGGGTGCTGGATTGAGGCTGGCGCAGCTCAGGGAGGGCCTCTCTGACGGGGTAGCACTGAGCTGAGCCTGGGCAGTGGAGCTGGGAGGGGCTGTTCGGGCAGCGGGCATCCTGTGCAGAGGCCCCAGGAGGCTGAGCTAAGGTCAGCAGGGCTGGAGCACCTTGAGAAGAACATTGCTCCACCTTTCGTCCCCACCTCCGTGAGGGCCTCGTAGGGCCTCAGCTAAATGGGGCCTTCCTCTGAGGCCCTGGACCTGAGCATGGGGGTCTGGCAATGGGGAAAAGTTCCAAATGGGCTGGACAGATAGAATTCTAGGTTTCCCATGACCACTGAGAGGCGGCCTGAGGGGACAAAGTGGCGGGAGGGTCCCGTACCATTCCCAGGTCTTTGACCTGGATGACCCACTAGGCAGGTGGGTGTCACCTTCCCTCCCAGTGGGTGGGAGGTTTGGGGTGTGTGATCTGGAGTCCATGGTGTTTTCTGGAATGTGGGTCTCTGGCCTCTCCACCTACTGGAGCTCCTGCTGAACCAGGCAGCTGGGCAGGAGCATGGATAGATTTTCCTAATTCTCTCAATGCAGAGGGAAAGTAGGGCATGAGGGCCTTGAGTCCAGCAGACCTGGTGTGGGATCCAAGCCTTGTCCCTAGGAACACATGGGCCTCGATTTTCTTGTCCAGAGAGTGGAGGAAGGGAGTGTATTCTTTGCAAGATTGTCACCCCACAGATTGTTACCTGGGGGCTGACACATCAGCCTGCAGCCATGTATTTTCTTTGTGAAAATCATCTCACTGTGACGTTTTTTTGTCAGGCAGGAGGTTGAGGGTGTGCGGGAAGTTAGTACCCTGACCTCGGGGATAATTCTTTGGAGGGGTATGGAGTAGGGAGGACTTCTCCAGAAGATCTCATTTTAGAGGTAGAAATGTACTCAGGAAAAGCAGGAGGGTCTTAGCGTAGCAGCCCCCTTCCTTGGGGCAGCCGGCTGAGGTTGTACCTTGCTTGCTGTTGGGGCGTCACGGGTTTTGGGCCTCTCTCTCGTCGGTGCCCGCTCGCTGGTCCTGGCGACCCTCACAGCAGCCCTTTCTACAGACGGGAAGCCAGGCTGTGCTCAGTCCTGCATCCATCTCCTAGCCTGGGCATCAAGGCTAGGTGGTGGCTCCTCACCCCACAACAAGTCACTTGACGGGCCGGCCGCAGCCCTCCGAACCCACGCTTCTAGCTCCTGGTTTGTGCCCTCCAGCTTAGACCCTGCTCCCAGAAAGGCCACAGTGCACTTTTATATAAATCCAGGGGTTGTTGTTTTCAATAAACCATCAGGGACATTTTGCTGTGTCGATGCTGATTTGCAGAACCTTTTTTAAAAGTTGAGATATAGTCTACATTCTGTCAGAAATGTGTACTGTTGAGTAGTTTTTTAGTACATTCACAAAGTTGTGCAGCCATCACAATGTTCCAGAACATTCCATCACCCCAAAATGAGCCCTTTGTCCATTAGCATCACCTCTCAATCTCTTCCAGTCCCTGGGATCTACTATCGCATCTTTTTCTTTTCCTTTTTTTTTTAAACAGTTTTATTGGGATTACGATTCATATACATACAGTTCACCCATTTGAAGTGTATAATTGAATAGTTTGTAGCATATTCACAGACAGGTGAATCCTCCACATTTCCCTCACCCCAAAAGAGCCCCAGGCCCTTAATCATCAGTGCCTTGTACCCCCAACCACTTACCTGTGCTCTGTGTCTATTTGCTGTTCTCATGTAGCATGGCGGGGGCAGGGGGGCACTGGAGGCAGAGAAAGGCTGGCGAGTTTCATGGGGTCCTCTCCTTCCTCTGTGGCCTTATCTGACCCCGGTTCCTTCCTGCTGTCCTGGGCATGTAGGCTCAGTGTGCGCATGAGCCAGCACAGCATGATGGAAAAGTGCATCATCCTGAAGGCAAGAGTCAGGGGCTCTGTGTGCTGGGCTCCTGGTCCTGGCAGACGCAGACAGGCCCAGGGGAATCGCCTGGCTTCCAGCCATGACCCTGCTTGTCCAGAGGTCCTGGTGGGGATTCCAGAGGGGAGTGCAGCTGGCCACCATGTGGGTCCTGACGTTGGAGGGGAGGGGGTTTCCTTCCCGGCTTCCATGCTGCCCTCTGTGGTCCCTAGAGGGGTTTGGGGAGCAGACATGCAGTTGCTGAATTAGAGGCTCATCCTAGAGATTTTTCAGGGGAGATCAACAAAATCAAGCACTTTTCAATCTCAGACTGATGAGCTGTTACTGAGAGCGACTGCTTGTTGAGTTGGTAGCAGTGACGTGTTTGGAGAGGCCCCGGGCCTGCTGGGCACCACACGAGTGCTTTTTCTAACAGCCTGATGGAGATGCAGTCCACATACCGCACAGTTTAGCCACTTAAAGTGTGCAAGTGTGTAGTGTATCACAGTCGTGCAACTGTCACCAGGCCAATTTTAAAACATTCCATCAACCCAAGAAGAAGCCCCATCTCTCTTAGTGTCACTCCCCCTCTCCCAGCCCCCACGAGCCCCCTTCCCGTCCGTGGATGAGCCTGTTCTGGACGTGCCACCCACGTGGATTCACACCCCGTGTGGCCTTCTGTGTCTGGTTCCGTCCCTGAGCGTCGTGGGCTCGGGGTCCGTCCCCGGGGCTGTGCGTGTGGGCGCCTCCCTCCTGTTTGCAGCCGAGGGATGTTTGTTCGCTCACCACCTGATGGCCGAGTGACACTCCCGTGCATGAGGGACACGCTGTGTGTATCTGTCCCCCCACTGGTGGACACTTGGGCTCTTTTCACCTCTTGCTCTCGATGAGCCGCTGCTCTGAACACCGGGGTGTAGTTTTGCATGAACACGTTCGTTCTCTCGGGTAGATGGGAGTATGGGGTTGCTGATCAGTACAAAGTGGCTGCAGCAGTTGGCGTTCCTGGGCCTGTGCTACTCGTTTGTTGTGCAGTCCCGCTGTGGGTCGGCATCGTTAGTCTCCTAGAGAGGTGGGTGGCCTGCGCTGTCCACAGGTGAGCAGGATCATGGAGCTTCACGGCTTCCGAACACCTGGTTTTGGATTTCCCAACAGGTCACACCTGAGCAGCTATTTGGGGTCCTGGCCCTGAATCTTAACGAAATGTTACCGTCCGCCCCCGCCACGATACCCTAGTCCCCAACATGGTACCCACGAGGAGACTGTTAGGGGTTGTCCCTGAAATACCTGTTATCTTGGAGTCCTTTCTCAAGAACACAGCCTAACTGTGTTTCTGAAATGTTCTGATATGTCAGCCGGGCTCCTGGAGCTGGGCCCCAGCCTTCTGCATCAGGGTGTTGATCCCTGCTCTCAGCGTTGGGGTCTGCTGGGGGCTCCGGGTGGGAGGCGGCACTGGGGAGAGGGCAAGGGTTGGCCCAGCACACCCTGCCCGCCGCTGACCCCTTCTCTGTCCACAGCCCCAGTGGGAAGAAGTTCCGGAGCAAACCCCAGCTGGCACGGTACCTGGGGGGTTCCATGGACCTGAGCACCTTTGACTTCCGGACGGGCAAGATGCTGATGAGCAAGATGAACAAGAGCCGGCAGAGGGTCCGCTATGACTCGTCCAACCAGGTCAAGGTAAGCTCCAGGCCTCTGGGGGCGCCTGGCCGGCTCTGTCGGTGGAGCATGCGATCCTTGATCTTGGGGTCGAGTTCAAGGCCTGTGTTGGGCATACAGGTTACTTTTATAAAGTCCAAAAGTTAAGAGGCACCTGGGTGGCTCAGTAGGTTGTGTTCAGCTGTTGGTTTCAGCTCAGGTCACGATCTCCAGGTCCTGGGATCAAGCCCTGTGCCGGGCTTCCAGCTCAGCGGGGTGTCTGCTTCCCCTCCTGCCTCTGACCTTCCCTCCTGCTGTCACTCTCGCGTGCTCTTTCTCTCTCAAATGAATATATAAAAAAACTTTTTTTTTTAAAGATTTTATCTCTTTATTGGAGAGAAAGCATGAGCGGGGTCGGGGGGAGACAGAGGGAGAAGCAGGCTTCCCGCCGAGCAGGGAGCCCGATGCGGGGCTCGATCCCAGGACCCTGAGATCATGACTTGAGCCGAAGGCAGACGCTCAACCCAGTGAGCCACCCAGGCGCCCCTAAATAAAAAATCTTTAAAAAAATAAATCTTGGGGCGCCTGGGTGGCTCAGTCATTAGGCGTCTGCCTTCGGCTCAGGTCATGATCTCAGGGTCCTGGGATCGAGCCCCACATCGGGCTCCTTGCTCAGCGGGGAGCCTGCTTCTCCCTCTCCCACTTCCCCTGCTTGTGTTCCCTCTCTCGCCATCAAATAAATAAAATCTTGAAAAATAAAAATTTTTAAAAATTAAAAAAAAACAACCCTGCTTTTGGGTGGAGAAAGAGAAGTTTCCACAATTCAGTTTATTTGCCGTGGTATTCAAGTCATAACTATCTGTTGAGGGAAATTTGGGAGCTACAGAAAAGCAGAAAGAAGGAAAGAAAGCATTTTCACTCAGTTCCTGGGAGAGGCCACAGGCCTGCGGCCCCCGGCTGTCCCCGGTGTGCTTGTCACTCTCTCCCCAAACCTGGCAGTGCGGGGGTCGCTGCAGGGGCCTGGAAGGCAGCCGGTCTTCAACAGCTGATGGGACGCCCACGGGGGTCCGGTGACACTGTGTGTCCACCAGTCTCTGATGGGTGGAGGGGGGTGCTTTGGTCCTGGCTGCAGGACAGCCCCAGCAGAGCCCCACCACGGCCCCACCGTGGGCAGCAAATAGGCAGGGCCTGGGCTTGCCATCGCCTCCAGCTCTGGGGGTGCCTCGGCATAGGCTGGTGACTGAGGGACACAGGGTCTGTTCCCCAGAGCCCACGGGGAGGGTTTCCTCTGCTGCCTGGGAGAGCCCGCTGAGGACCCTGGGGCTGCGGTACCAGCTTGTGTGTGTCTGCAGGGCAAGCCTGACCTGAACACGGCCCTCCCCGTCAGGCAGACGGCATCCATCTTCAAGCAGCCAGTAACCAAGATCACCAACCACCCCAGCAACAAGGTGAAGAGTGACCCCCAGAAGGCCGTGGAGCAACCTCGGCAGGTGAGCCCACGTGCCCCACACACATCCCCGGGCAAGGTCGTGGTGGGCATAGGGTGTGGGTCACACACATGCTGCCTTGTGACCTATCTTTCAAGAGCCAAGAGTTCCCTGTGCTTTTGAGCATGTTTGCAAATGCCCAGGAGATAACTGACGTGCAGGCACTGGCTGGAGCAGGAGGCTATGGGGCTGCTCCCAGGGAGGCCCCGTGTCATTTCCACCCCCCTCGGTGGCATTGGGGTCGTCGCCATCTAAGTAACTGCTCAGACCTGTGCGTCTGCTCCCACGCTTAGGACGTGCCTCTCTGCACGCTGTCCCCAGAGTCCCGTGGCGCTGTCAGTGGGTGTGAGCCCCTTGCACCTGCAGGGCCTGCCCTGGTGCTAGGCCACGGTGGGGCCTCTGGGGGCCTCGTAGCTCAGCCCTGCTGAACGGTGGACTTCTGAACTGAAGTTTCAGCGTGAAGGGGGCTTCACCTCCCCAGGGTTGTGCCATGTTTTGGGAACCATAGACCGTGAGCACTGACGGCAAGGCTGAGGTCCCGGGTTGGGGTTTCTCTGGCCTGGAGGCCAGGCCTGGTGGGAAATCCCACAGGTTCTACCGCACCCTCGTTCCCAAGCAGGTAGTTCTAGCACATGGGGGTCAGAGGTTGTGCTGAGACTGCCGTCCCGCGTGTGGAGGGGCCCCAGCTGTCGTCGGGACTGGCCAGGGCTGCCTGTTGTCGGGGCACGTCTGTCAGCCTCATGTCTGTGTGTCTGGTGGCAGCTTTTCTGGGAGAAGAAGCTGAGTGGCCTCAATGCCTTTGACATCGCCGAGGAGCTCGTGAAGACCATGGACCTGCCCAAAGGCCTGCAAGGTAGGCCCGGGATAGAGGGGGACCAGGCACGAGAAAGCCAGCGGTCTCTGCAGCGCGGTGAAGGACCGTAAATAGCGCGCCCTGGGCCGAGCGCCGCCCTCCTGCTGGGCTGGGAGGAAGGACAGGTGTCTGGCAGGGGCAGGGCTCCCCCCGTGCAGCCTGGACCAGCCAGGGCGCTGGTCCCCCAATCCTGGAGGCCACCCCACCTGTGCTGCGGCTCCCGAGCTGTGTCGGGGGCCCTGCAAAGACTCACCTGTGTGTGGTTTTGCTCCCACGCCGTGAAAAGGCCACCGCGCTGTGACGGACAGGCACGGCTCCTGCTTTTGTCAAGGGCCTGAGCGCCTATAGCGGGGAGTTGGGAATGAGACCCGAGGCTCGGGGGGAGGCCTCAGGTGCCCAGTGGTGACCACCCTCCTGTCCCTGGTAGGCGTGGGGCCTGGCTGCACAGATGAGACCCTGTTGTCGGCCATCGCCAGCGCCCTGCACACCAGCACCATGCCCATCACCGGGCAGCTCTCGGCCGCCGTGGAGAAGAACCCTGGGGTGTGGCTCAACACAGCCCAGCCCCTCTGCAAGGCCTTCATGGTGACCGATGAGGACATCAGGTACTGCCCTGCACGCCACCCCCCCATACCAGTGCCCACCGGCGCGTCCCACTTCCTGCTGACGCTCTCTGGGGCTCGGGGGCTTGAAGCAGACGCGGCCACAGCGAGGGCGGGTTTGAAAAGAATCAGTAGGAGCTTTCCCACGAGTGTTGGTTCAGGGCAGGCCAGGGGCGAGGCGGCCTGTGGAGGGGGTGGGAAGCGTCCTAGCTCTGTACGTATGTTCTTGGGATTGGAAAGTGGCTCTTCACCTACATGCACAGGCTCACAGTGTGGCCTGCCCATCCTCGGGCTCATGAGGCCTTGCACGTGCCTGGCCAGGGGCGGGGGGGGGGCTCTAGAGAGTGGCATGGGTCGGGTGGGGGTGGCATGGGATGGGGTGGCGCCAAGCATGCCACAGGCCCCGAAGGCCAGCCCGAGTCGAGGCTGGACGCTGTGGCCGCTGGGCCCCGGAAGGGTTTCCCAGCTGAGCCAGAGAGCAGGTGCAGGGGGCCTCGGGGCAGGAGGCATCCCCGAGCTGGAGTCCTCTGGGAAGGCATCCTGGTGAGGAGATAGTTGAAGCTGGCAGCAGGACAAGAAACATCTAGAAGCTCTGGACGAGTGGAACCTGTGTTCTCTCGACTGAAGCGTCAACGCACAGCTTAGGTCAGAATGAGTTAGAGGACTCTGTGGACCCCACACAGAGAAGGGGCTGGAAACACGGCAGCCGTGGCCAGGACTGGCTTACAGGTGGGGTCGTAGGTGGGCAGGCTTCCTGTGTTGGGCCTGGGGCTTGGAAGCCGTGCGGGTACAGGAGAGAGTCCCATGCCCTGTACGCGGAAGACACGGAATCGCCCACAGGCCTGCGGAGGAGCTCGTCTCCAGGGAGTTGGAAGTATAAGAAAAGAACACAACCGTCTGGAAAGACTAGCAGATTTTTAAAGCCAGGCAGAACTTCTAGAAACAGGAAAAGCCACAGAAAGGAGAACTCTCGTGTCATGGGTTAGGCGGTAGATTTGGTCCGGGGTCGGCGGGGGGCGGTGGGGGGGGCGGGGCGCTGCCAAAAGATGGGGCCGGCATTTGCCAGGCCTGGTGACAGACACAATGCTGGTTCGTGTTCCCGTTGTGGTGAGGGTCTCGGCCTCAGGGAGGGAAGGCTGGTGGCTTTCTGGATGGTCGTAACAGAAGGCAAAAGGCCCGAGAAGGCTGTCCTCCGCCTGGCGCTCTCCAGCAGAATCTCCTCGCCCGGCCGGCGGCTGACCCTGGCCGCGGTGACCGAGCACCGTTGTCCATCTCTCTCCGCACACTGTGCTCAAGTGACAGGAAAGGGAGTCGGGGGCGCGCGCTGGGCCCCGGCAGGTGCTCGCTGGCGTGGCGGTGCCAGGAGGGCATGCCAGGAGGGGCGGCACGGAGGGCAGCGGGGCCCGCCCCAGCATCGGCCCAGCCGGGGTGCAGTGCAGGGCCCAGGAGCTGGACTGGGGGCCGGCCGCCGTGCGCGGGCAGGTGCGGGGACAGGAGCGAGGGCGGAGGGCCCCTCCCGGCCCGGCAGCCGTGCGCCCGGCCAGCGTAGCCCGTGCACCCCCAGGAGGCAGGAGGAGCTGGTGCAGCAGGTGCGCAAGCGGCTGGAGGAGGCGCTGATGGCCGACATGCTGGCCCACGTCGAGGAGCTGGCCCGGGACGGTGAGGCGCCGCTGGACAAGCCCGGCGCCGACGGGGACGAGGACGGGGACGAGGACGGGGACGAGGACGAGCCGGACCAGGACCAGGGGGCGGAGCACGTCTAGGAGCAGGTGCCGGCCGGCCGGGTGGGTCCCAGGCCGCCTGGCGCTCGGACGGCGACCGAGGGGCTGAGGGCCGCTCCCGTCAGGGCGCTGACGGCGCCCTCTCCCTGTCTTTACAGAGGCCCCGTGGAGCCCTGCCGCGGGGAGCCCCCCATGGACTCCGCCGTCTCCACGCTCGGACCACGCTCTGTGGCCCGGCCCCGGGCGGTGGCCCCCCCTCCTGGGCCCTCCCAGGCGTGTCCCCTCCCCTGGGCCCACGGGGGCACGGCTGGAGGGCAGCCCCTGCCCGACGGGCCCCCCGCGTGGGCTCTTCTCTGAAGGGCCTGGGTCCGGAAGTGTCGTCCGCCGGCCCCCCGGGCCCGCCTGCAGGAGGCCCCCCTTGGCGCCGTCTCTCCACCTGGACTTGGGGCTGGCCTCGCCCCCACGGCCGCATCACACAGGACGGCCGCCACCGGGGGCCCGCGAGGGTCCCCAAGGGGCTGGAGAAGCAGTTTTCGGAACAGTGCCGCCTCCCGATCCCCGCGTGTGAGGGACGCCATTCCGGGGTCCGCACGTCAGCCCTCCAAGGAGGTGGGGTGCCCACCGGCGGGCGAAGCCGTCACGGCTCGGAGCTCATCTGGAGGCAAACAGCGCAACCCAGACGTTGTCCTTCAATAAATCCGTGACACAAACAAGGCTGGACGTCCACATAACTGCTTAGCCTTTGTGTTTGCTGCACGTGGATGCGGACTCTAGCCTTTGTGTTGGGAAACCTCACTGTCCACAGCGAGGCCGACCCGGCCTGAGGGTCAGCCAGCCACCGGCGACGGCGAACTGCTTGCGGCCGACTCGCCAGGCCGGGGCTCCAAGGCAGCTGGGCCGTCGACTGGCCTCCCTTCCCCTCCCTGTGTAGCGGGGATGGGGACGCCCAGCACTCAGGGCCAGAGCTGGTCCTGGGTCGCGGCTCCTCCGAGGTCCTATCCTGGGGTGCGTTCTGTGGCCCGGCGTTTCCAAGCGCCTGGTGCCCAGAGCAGCGGCATCTGGGCAGCTCCGGGCGCAGGGGGCATCGGAATCGTGGTCCTTCATCCCTGCCCCCTCCTAGCCTGAGTGCCTTGGGTGAGGGGCGCCCTCCTGTCCCCGCTCAGCCCCGGCCAGCAGCTGGAGACCGTCGGGAAGGACCTGGGTCGCTGCCTGTGTGGCTGTCACCCTGGCTGATGCACAGGGTGGGGGCCGTGGCAGGAGCCACCTGCTCGTCCGAGGACGCTGGCCCAGCACGGCACATTGGCAGCATCCTTCTAGTCCAGTCAAAGCACAAATCCTCCAGAACCACCCACGGAGGGTGTGGCCGGCGTGCTGGGGGGGGGCCGGGCCACCACAGGCCTCGGGAAGGCCTCTCCCGTAAGGCCACGCATCGTCCTGCCCTTCATGGAGGCTGTAGCCGCTGAAGGAGCTTCGTCTGGGGCTGGCCCCTGTGTGGGCCTGAGGTCCAGGTGCCCGGAGCCCTGCCCAGCGGAAGGGACTGCGGGGCCCGGGAGGCACCCTGTCCTATGGGCGACCGTTGAATAAAGCCATCTCGGTGAGTGTGGTTTGGAACCTTGCTTTAATTCTGAAGACCCAGAGCCTTTGTGTCCAGGGGAGATGGACCCCCGCCCAGGCCTTCGGCACCTAGTGTCCTGTTTGTCACCTTATCGTGGGCTGGGTGATGAAAGGGGACCCGGGGGACCAACTGGCCTTTCCCAGGGAGGGTGGGGTTCAGCTCCCAGCACCTGTAGTGAAAGAGCCAGTTTGGCCAAGGTTTCCAGAAGATGCAGAGCCCCCAGGGCCCCCTGCTGCCTGGACTGGAGACCCCCACGTGTGCTCTGTCCCAAGTCTGCATTGTGGGGGCTCTGTGCCAGGAGCTCAGGCGGGGAGTCCCCCCCGGGCCAGCACTGGTGAGATGATTGGGAAGGGGGCCCGCGTGATAGTGCCCCTACCATCCCTGGTGTCCGGCCACCACCCGCCCTGCCTGGGGCCCCCTCCACTCCACACCCCTCCCACACAGTCGTTCCACAGGCTTTGGCTCTACCCTGCAGTCAGCACCGCCCTCCTGGAGGGGGCCCAGCTCCCAGAGAGGAAACAGGCTCAGGGTAGCAACTTGCCCAGGGGCACCAGCTGGAGAGGTCCATCCTGGCTGAGAACTTGGGTCTCCCCGACTCCGGGTCCATAGAGGCCCTGAGGGGCCGCGAATCTCGGGACCTCAGAAGCTAGGATGGGGTCCAGCGTCCCAGCCCCACAGTAGGGCCCTCCACCCCCCAAGAGCCCATCCTGACCCTGAGCTGGGGCCCGCCACGAATTCTCTCCTCTCCCTAGAGAGATCCCCGGTGGCAAGGGTCGAGGAGGGGGCTCCCAGGCAGCCAGGTCACCTGGTGCATCCAGCTCCGACATCTCCCAACGACACCTGCTGGGTGCCAGGGTTTCAGCACCATCAGCTCCGATGTCCACACCACAGACCAGAACCACCCCCATGTCTCCACCTGGTGCCCAGCCGCCCCCACTCCCAAGGCAGGCACAGAGCTTTCTGAACCAAGCTGCACCCCACCCTGCACAACAGTCCTAGGACACCTCCTCATCTGTGCAAGCTTCCCGCGACCGCTGCAACAGGTCACAGCCACCTTGGCCGCTTAAAACCACACGGATTGATTCTCCGACAGTTTGGGTTCAGAAGTCCTAAAACCCCGGCGTGGGCAGGGCTGGTCCCCCCGGGGCCCCAGGGAGACCCGGCTCTGGCCTTTTCCTGGCCCGCGGCCCCCCCTCCATCCTCACCACCAGCAGCGCGGGGTCTGCCCATCTCTGGGACTCCCACCCTCTGCCTCCCTCTCGTGAGGACCTCGTGAGGACCTCGTGAGGACGCCGGGCCCCCCAGGAACCCAGGGTCACCCCCTCCTCGGGGGCCCTGACAAGGTCCCCTCTGCCGCGTGAGGGGACATGTCCACAGGTCTTCCCAGGACAGGGATGTCTTTGGGGGACTTAGTTGTCAGGGCACATTACCCCGAAGATAAGATTCCTTATCTCTTTGGGCAGCCCGTAGGCTTGACCATCTCTTCCTTCCTTCCAAGCTCACTCCAGCCCCCTGGCCTTCGTCCATGTTGTCCCTCAAGGGGAATGAGCGGTTGCTACAGAAGCCCAGGAACGGGTCAAGCTCAGGATCCACCAAGTTTGAGGAGGAAGGGACCCTAAGGGTGACCTAAGGCAGTGACGTGAACAGAACAAGTTGGGAGTTTACTGGTCAAGACCTGGCCGGATGGGCTGGAGCGGAGGGACCAGCTTGCTCAGATTTCTAGAATAGTCCAGTGGGATGGCCACCAGCCACATATGGCTATATCAGTTTCAGTTGGTTACAACTAATTAAACATCCCATTCCTTGAACCCAGGCCTGGTGGCTACGAAAGCGGACACAGCACATGGAGAACATTCCATCATCTGGAAAGTTCTATTGCTCGGTACCGTTCTAGAGCAGGGACTCTCAGCCTTTGCTGGGGGCATGCTCAGACGCCACTGTAAGATCAGGTAAGGGTTGGTCCAGATTCAGGCACTCAAAACATGGAAATAATCCCAGGGTCTATCAACAGACAAGCGGAAACGGCGCAGACAGGAGTGCGGTGGAGACATGCACTGCCCCAGGGACGGATCCTGAGCCCAGGACGTCCGGGGAGGGAACCGGACACACAAGGCTACTGTGGGGTTTTTGTTCCAATGTGATGTTAATTTTATGCTGAGGGACACCCAGACAGCTGGTAAACGTGAGTTCTGGGGGTGCCCGTGGCTGTGTCTGGAAGAGATGAGCATTTCTTCAGCGGACGGAGTGAAGACCTCGTCCCGTCCACGCGGGCACCATTCAGCAGGGGCCCGAATGCGGCACCAGGTGGAGGAAGGGCTAACTTCTCTCCTCTCCCCGAGCTGAGCCAACCGTGTTCCTGGACTGAATCACGCCCTGGGCCCTCCCGGGTCTGTGGCTTGGCTCCCTAAGCACGGGAGCCAGTCCCCTTGTCTCCCCTTGGAGATCTCTCCTTAGATCCTACTGGTTCTGTTTCTCTGGGGAGCCCTCACACAGCCAGTGTACGAACCCATGGCCATGAAAGGTCAGGAGAGGTCAACCCACAGAGACAAAGTGGGTTCGCGGGCGCCGGGGGTTCCGGGGCTGGGGAGGTGCTGCCCATGGGGATGGGGTTTCTTGTTGGGGTAACGATAATGTTCTAAGACCAACAGTCGTGATGATCGCACAAATTCTCAAATTTACTAAAAACCATTCAATGGTCTACTTTAAAAGACCAAACTTTGATGCACACGAATTATCTCTGTTTTAACAATAAGAAAATTTCAGGGTCTTAGGGAACCTGAAGCATGTGCAGAGATCCCAGCCAGTTAGGAAGGAGCCTGAGGGTCCCCCAAATGGCTGTGGGGAGAGCAGGTGGCCTGCAGTGTGGACGCAGCTGCCTGGCCAGGAATCTTTAAAAAAAAAAAAAAAGACAAACATTAACTTAGGCTGAGTTCAAGAAACGTGCCTCGGGAGGCAGCACAAAGCAAGTCCGTTCACGTGAAACTGCGGAGGAGGCAAAGATGCTCCCAGGGGCCGGCCGGTGGCGTGGGGAGGCCCGGCAGCAAGGGGGCGGACGCAGCTCTCCGGGGTGTCGACCTGGGCAAGCAGAGCTGATCAGTCAGTCGGACAGTGAAAACAGGTGTGTTTTCTGAAACTAATATAACACTGTCAGCTAACTGGAATTCAAATAAACACTTAGGGGAAAAAGCTGTGTTTTCATTGCATGTAAACTGTCTCAACAGCATCTGATTCGCAAAGTTTAACTTGCGTCCACCTCCAAACTGCCCCCAGCGCACATTCTGATAAGCGACAAGGCAGTAAATAGAAACTGTCCAGGGAAGACAGTTCTGTGGTTTTATATTCTTTGGCAATTTTTTTCCCCTTGACTATTTCTTACTCTTTCAAAATGTGCCCATGGAGGAGGAGGGCGCCGCTGCCCCCCCCCTCCCCCCGCGCTTGGGCAGCACCGAGCACACACCTGGGCTCCCCTGCGGGCGCCCCTGAAACCCCACCACGGCGTTTCTGCTCTCTATTACAGCATTTCCCCAACAACGTTTGAAGAACTGTTAAAAAAAAAAAGTTAAAAACAAAGAGGTGAACTATCACTAAAATCCTCCTGAGGGAAAATAACCATGCCCAGCCCCATGCAAACCAGAGCAGACCCTCTTTTGCTGGTTTCGTTGGTTTCTTTTGGCATTTTCCTTCATGCTGCTTTTTATCCTTCTTGCTCCCCGGCCCCGGCCCCCATGAGCCCCCTTCCCGTCCGTGGATGAGCCCGTTCTGGACGTGTCACCCACGTGGACTCACAGCCCGCGTGGCCTTCTGTGTCTGGTTCCCTCCCTGAGCGTCATGGGCTCGGGGTCTGTCCCCGGGGCTGCGCGTGTGGGCCCCTCGCTCCTGTTTGTGGCCCAGTGATGCTCTGGTGCGCGGGGGACCGTGTGTGTATCCGCGGACCCACGGATGGTCGCCTGGGTCGTCTACACATTCAGGCTTCGGTGAACACGGGGGTGTGTCTGCTTCAGTCCATTTTCAGTTCTCTGGGATCACGGCAGGTGGGGCTGCTGGGGCTGTTCCTGGCACACCCTGCTCTGTTCTTGGCACCCCTGCCTCCCAGGGCTTTGTCACCAGCTCCCCCACCCAGGGCAGCTCCAGCAGGGGTTCCGGTCACAAGTTCCCTCAAGTTCCCAAGCACCTGCTGCAGGTCAAAATAGAAGGGAAAGCCGACTTCCAGGGCCCACCCCACCTCATGGGACTTTCATGCTGTTTTCATTTACAGACATCTCCAAATGCATCTCTCAAAGGACAGTTTTTAAAACTTAAAAATACGTTTTTGTTTTTTTGTTTTTTTGTTTTTTTTTTTATCACAGAAGGTTCTGAAATGCAGCAAACAGACAAGTGCAGCCCAGGTGCTGCCACCCGGCCTCGGGAAGGCCGCTCAGGGCCCACACCACCTCCCAGCACCGCCTCCTGCCTCCATGTTATCCCAGCACTCTACCAGAGGGATCTCCGACACAGAGCAGAGTTGGCTGGATCAGACAATGACCATCGTCCGCGCACCACCTGCACCAGCCACACACGGGTTGGCATGGAAGGGTAAGCGGTTCTGAGCACCCAGGGCCTCGGTCTGAGAACGGTTTTGGTCATCCTGCCTGGGGAGGTATTGTGGGTTGCACCGTGTCTCCCCAGAAAAGACCGTCCATGTCCCAACCCCTCAACCTGGAAATGGGAGCTTACTTGGAAATAGGGTCTTGGCAGATGGAATTAGTTAAGATGAGGTCACACTGGAGTAGGGCGGTCCTGAACCCTCATGAGGCAGAGATGTGGACGGAGACGCACAGGGAGAACCGGCGTGATCGTGGACACACACCAGGGCGATGTGTCCACAGCCGAGGGACACCAAGGATGGCCAGCCACGCAGGAGCTGGGAGAGGCAGGAAGGACCCTCCCTGGAGTCTTCAGAGAGCCAACGGTCCAGCCACACCTTGACCTGGGACTTCTGGGCCCCAGGACTTGGAGAGAATACATTGGTATTCAAAGCCCCCCAGTTTGTGGTAATTTGCTAAGACCACAGAAAAGAAACGTGCGGGGCGGTGGGGGTGGGGGCGGCGCTGGTGGCTCCGGGAATCACATAGTGGGGGCCGGGGATGCGGCCGGACACACACAGTGCCCAGCACAGCCCCCCGCAGAGAATGACCCTCCGGAGTGTCAGCACTGCAGGCGGAGAGCCTGTCCAGGCTGACCACCCACCTTTTACCTGCGGCATCGTCCGCCTCTGCCCATCCCTCACTCCATCCTGTTTCTGGTGTGTTTCAAACCACGCCACAGACACCACCTTCTGCCCCCTAAATACATCAGTGTGCAAACTGCTCATCGGTCAGTGGTTTACAGATCTTTTTATTTTTTTCAAAAGATTTTATTTGTTTGACAGAGAGAGAGCACAAGCAGGGGGAGCTGCAGCAGAGGGAGAGGGAGAAGCAGACTCCCCGCTGAGCAGGGAGTCCAATGCAGGTCTCAATCCCAGGACCCTGGGATCATGACCTGAGCCGAAGGCAGTCACTTCACAGACTGAGCCACCCAGGCGCCCTAAAGGGTGCCACCACAGGGCCATTCCTACCCAATCCCTACAGACACCCAACAGGCCAGCATGTGCACATCCTGACTCCATGGAGCCCCGGTTCCCCTCTCTCTTCTGACTCCTAATCTGCTTGTTGTCAAACAGCCTCCTTTTGGAATTGGAAGTAGTCTTGGCTCCTGATGGCTGGTTGGCCACGGCCAAAGGCTCGCCGGTCCCCCAGACCCACTCTCCAGAGCCCCACTGCATACAGCTCGGCACCATTCCAGTCCACTTGTCTCCCCGGGCCAGCACCTGTGTCATCATTCACTTCCTCTCTTGTTTTGCTGGAGTGCATCCTGCAGGATGCTAAGCTGATTGGTGAAGACCTTGCTGGCCTGAAACATCTTGATTCTTCCTCCCACTTGACTCAGACCTTGGGGTCAGCCATCCCTTTCCCCTGGAACCCAGGCCTTCTTTTTCCTGATCGTTTGGAGTATGGCCCGGAAGCACTCAGGAGTCCCAGCTCCACGAACTCGTCTTCCCAGGACAAGCTGCAGGGTCCTGGCTATACCCTTCTATGGTTTCTTGGACAACTTCCCTCCATTTCCCCCTTGCTCTCTGGGATTCTTGAACTGTTCCTCTGTTTTTTCTCCCTCCTCTCCGAGTTCTCACTTATTTTTTTGCCTGACTTTCTAGATTTCTCCAACTTGAATCTTCCAACTTCTTGCTGAAGTTTTAATGCCGGCTACTGTGCTAACTCCCAAGCCCTCTCTCGTTCTGTCTTCCTCCGTCACCTTCCCGTTGGCTGGATGCCTGCAGTGGAGCAGAGCCTGCATGCCCCCCAGGAACGCTGGTGTCTCCAGGGGGTGGCCAGCAGCTTGGGGCAGGGTCCCCCAGGCCACTCTGTCCTTGTTTCTCCTCCATCGGTGGATGCTGCCTCCCCTCCCAAGTCCCCCAGAGGGAGGGACATGTGTATGGGGCCTGGGAGCAGAAACTGGGGAGCAGAAAGGCACCCAGCTCGTCTGAAGACCTCTCCACGGGGACTGATGAGGTCAGGGGGTGCTTTAAGGAACATATGTATGTGGGTGCATAACCTCCAGAAGTGCATCCCGGAGCAGACCACACTGTGTCACCACCAAATTATTCTCCCTTCGCCCAGCTCAAATGCCCTATCCTCCACTTTAGACTTCTCCCTACCCCAGCTCCCTCCTGAGCCCCTTTCTCAGAGCTTACCCCCTGCTCCCTTTTGTTTCTCCCTCTCCTTCCTCCAGCTCACCCAAAGGGCAACCCACCTGCCTCCACCCTGGCTGGGGCCCCAGGAAGGGGGATCAGCACGCACCAAGGCCTGGCCCTGAGAAAAGGCAGTGATGGTGAGTGCTGGGGGTAGCGGGAAAGGGGGACCTGAGGCTGGCCAGCTGGGCCTGGTCCTGGAGCACCAGGGGACATTTCTGTGGGGAAGATGGGGACAAGGCCTGTGGCCGGGTAACAAGGAGGGTGTGCCAGGATGTGTCCAGAAAGCACAGTGGATCTGCAGGTCCCTCCAGGTCCTCTGGGAACTTGGTCCCATGGGGAGGGGACAAGACATAAGTTATTATGAAGTTAATTAAGACTCACAAGTGTTCAAGCGCACAAAAGAGAAGTCTGGGACCCTGAGAGAGGAACTTGGGCTGGATGTGACTTGGGGGATCAGGAAAGACATTTTAGGCAGCAGCAACAAGGCAGGGAGGCACGAGGGCCCTAATCAGAGGCACCTCTCAGGGCAGTCTGAGCGGGTGGGTCAAACTCACAGGAGGCTCAGGCGCCACATGGGGCAGGCGATGGGGTTCCCCGGTCAGGGGGAGAGGGGCTGGCAGGCAGAAGGGGCAGGCCGCTCACACTCCCACCTAGGCAGCTGGTGTCCTCCGCCCCAGGTCCCCCAGCCAGTCAGGAACCCGGGCCGGGGTCCGCTGGGAGACTGGGGCAGATGCACCGGCTGAGGTCCAGCCTGCTCCCAGCCCATGGATCGTGTGAGAACTCCTTCCCCCACCGCGGAGAACAGAAGACCCCGAAGGGCAGCTGGAGGGAGGGCCGCCGGGGCAGGGTGGCTCTGGAGGTGGACACGCAGGGCAGGGCGCCCGGCGCCCCGGGAGCAGGAGGGTCCTTCGGCCGGCGGAAACCAGCCCAAGCCGGGAAGCTCCGCCGCCCACGTGGCCGAGGCTCGGGCTCCGGCAGCCCCCACCCCAGGGCTCCCACCCAGGACCGCACGCGCGCGCGGGCCCGGGCCGCTGGAGGAACCGCGAGGTGAGGCTTGGCGGGGCGGCGCCTGGGGGGGGCCCAGCGGGCACCTACCTGCGGCCGCGCCCGCGCCCCGCCACGTGACCGCGCCCCGCCCCGCGCGCGCGTGCGCCCTGCCTGCGCCCCATTGTTGGCGGCGCGCGCGTCACGGGGCG